GAAACCGAAACTAAAACTGATTTACAAAGATAAAATAATTACTTAATTCTTTAAAATGTATGGAAAACAAATTCATCTTTTCCACTTTAATCTCTGTGACTATCGCGCACACACACACATACACACGCACACAAAATAATGCCTCAAAATTTATCTCATATTTATATATATATTTATATATATTATTTACATAAACAAAAAGTAATATTCATTATAACCTTCTCTGTGAGAGAAAGCATTTCGACTGCGTGCATGAAAATGTCCAAATTTCATACTTGAATACAAAATTTATGCTGAAATATTTGAAATTACACGAAAGTTATATTAATTCATTAGAAACAATTCTCAGGTTTGGCAATAAATATATTGAATAGGAAAACAAGATAAATGAATGTCTTTCAAAAGAAAGTTTTGATAAGAATTTTTAAAAAAAAAAGCTATTAGTCTGGTTTGCTCCGAGTAAATACGAAACTGGTAGAGATTTTGCTTTTCGATAACATGCAAACGTGGGCTGATCATTATAAAGAATATTTCCTGCTCTGCCATTTTAATTATTGAAGTTCGAATTAATGGTACACTTGTTTTGCTTACATCTATAAATTTTTACATAATTAATAAGCATTATTAATTAATCAATACAGAAAACCGATAAGATAAACCTTAGAGGTGCAATATATAACAACAAACAAAAATGACTTGCTGTAGCAATATAGCAAATAAAAAACAACATGAATTTTCATTGTGAATTTCTGAATAGTTTTGGTACAAAAACCACCTTTTTTTAAAAGATATATCTTGAAAATGTGCAATAATTCTGTCAGAAATGTATAGCAATCTTTAAAATTCACACATTCTAGAATGCAGCTATTTACAATAGCATTTTAACAAATTAATTCTGAAATTAGTAATGAAAAACGCATTTTTAAAGCAATTTTTTCACAATTTTAACTAAAATTCAATTACTTTAGTAAATTTTAAAACATTTAAATAAGGAGAAACTTTCTATAAGAGAAAATAGGGGAACCAAAAAAGTTTCACAATCAGCTGATTTTAATAATATGATTAATATTATACAAATACCAATTTTCATTAATTTATATTTTGATTCCGTATTAATTGACAGCTGTAGTAAAATTTTGTCAAATACAAGAAATAGGAATTCATTTTGTCAGATATACAGAAGCTTACTGTTACTGAAGAGACATATTATCTCAATCTTAATGAACTTTTGTAGGCTTGCTTCAGTCTAAATCTTCCATTTATTAACTTTATGGAGCAAATCTAATGTAAATCTCAAATGAATCTTAAAATTAATTTTATAAATGAAAAGATTTCATTTAAACCAAAAATATTAAAATTAAATATTTCGTAAGATATTTTAAAATACATCTTTGTAAATCTTTGTTTCTTACAGTATAAAGCGAGTTATTTTCTTCGTTTTCCGGGGTCTACAAGAAGAATAAATTTAAGATAAGCTTGTAAAAGGTAACCATTTGTGTTAGTTGTGCTTTTTTGTAAAAACTAAATACGCAAAAGTTCTACTAGCGTGTAAAACATTCATGAAAAGTATAAACGATCATTTGTTTATGTAATATACTAATAAAGCAAGCATAACGTAATACTTTTCATTAAAAATATGTAAAGAGGAAACATGTAAAGATTAAAAACATGTAAACAGTACATGTAAGAGAGATTAGAATTCCAAGTCTTTTTTTTTTTTTTTTTTTTTTTTTTTTCTTTCTTTTTTACATGATACTGAAAAACATTTTTGGATACCATTTAGATTACATAGATACACACCCAAGCTTTAAATTCGAAATTTTGCTTAAGAATGCAGCATCTGATTCCTAGCCACTTATGCTAACATTTTTTTAGTACTTATATTTCAAGAGAAATGCTAACACCGTTTGTCAGTTATCAGATCGTATGTATGATGCATTCTTTCCATTTTGAGAAGCGAATGAATAAAAACCTTCTTTCACTTACTGCTTTTATTTCAGACAGTGGAGGTTAACAGATTAAGGCAAAGCACATGAGAGCTATCTACCTGAAGGAGTTCTGAACAAAATAAAGCCAGATTTTATATTTATAACTAGCATAAATGTTCTCTCTGTTACTACTAATAAATAACTGATTAGCACTAAATGATTGTTATTGTAAACTAAATTAGTAGCAATATTATAATTCTTCTTTTTATAAATGCATTAATATATATGACATACGATATATGACATACTTATATATGACTTATATATGACATACGATTTTTTAAACATATTAAAAAATCGAATTCTGAATGCTGACATAATTGACGATATTCACGTTTTCTAGTTATTAAATTGATTATTTACTAATTTATATTTATTTATGAACAAGACACCGTGCAAATTTAGGTGCAGAAAAGGCGAAAGTGCACCTGGCAAGTTTTGGGAAATAATTTTTTTAAATAATTGCAAATTATTTTTAAAAATTATTTTCCCCATTCATGCTTAAAATTTTCTAAAATTAATCATCATCTAATAGCATAACTCGCAATTTTAATATTATCCCACTCACTACTAATTTATAATTACCATTTCTAAACAAATTTTCCATATTTATAAATTTCAAAGAAAAAAGCCTTTTTCTCCATAAGGGTAATAATAAAGACTGAATAGGGAAAGAAAGAAAAAAAAAAATGTTGTCGCTGAAAGAGAAAGGAGACAGGAGACAAAAATGATATGCAAATTACATATATATTACCCAAAGAAGGAGCGAAGGCTGACCAACAAGGCTATTAAGAGTGTTATGTCTAGTATTTAAGGGAGATAAAATAAAGAATTTTAACTCTATCTCGTAGAAGAGTTAAAATTCTTTATTTTATCTCAAACGTCTCAAACTTTCAAACGTCTGAGTCTGTTAAAGGCCATTTACTGCAACCTATGACGCGACTTATAGTTTACGACTTGCGTGGTTACACGCATGGTTAATTTTGAGACCATTTTCCCATAAAAACTAAATGGTACGTTAAATTGCCGTGTTGTGAATGCCTGCGTTTTCTAGCAAAATAAAAGTAAAGTGATATTTTCCCACTGATATTCTTTCTTGTGATTTTTCTCGCAGTCACTTGCTTATGATCGTAAAATTATCTGCAATGCTCAAGAGCTGATAATTTTATTTAGAAGGCAATTTTACAGTCATTGATAATTATGGTTATATTAAAGGCCAGTATGAGAAGCATACCAGAAAAGTATTTGTTAACCGACACATTTGATTTTCAAAGACGCAGAAATTTAATTTTGTGTCGGACATGCGAAATGTCTATTTCGGAATAAATTTTTATTTACAATGACAGTTTCTTGTAATCACAATATATGTGTTAATGTTTTTACGAAAGAAAAAGAGTCGAAAAACATTTATGAATGGCACTCCATTTTAATCCCAGCTATTAAGCAATAAAGCAATTAATATACGTTTGGTTATTAAATGCCGCAAATGCTATAACTGACGGTTATATTAAAAAATTTGTGAGCAGGGAATGAGTTGAATTAAGACGTAAGCTTTCTGATTTTGATCTTTTCCCATATAAGAGAAATTCAAAAGCTAAATTATAAAATTATTTAAAATATCCAGAAATATGTAATACGAGCAAACGCCATTCCTTTTCCCCATTTATCAAGAGTAATTAGAAAACAAAACGGATTTTCAAAAATTAAATTGCGTGTCAGTGATAGTTGAGATAATCAATATTCCAAAGACGTGATTTTGTCATTTTGCTTACAATTCTTGAAAGAGTGAAATTGCGTGATTATAATAAGTAGATTTCAGCCCCTTTATTAAGGTTATTATTTTTATTAGAACTATTTATTTTGGAAGCGTTCAAAAGTCTTATAATACATCTATATCATTTCCCTAACTTTTTAGACGCTAGAACAGAGCCCGAGTAATTTGCATAATATGGTAGAAAAGCATAAAAGCAATTTTTTCGAATGAAAATCTTCCGAGTTAGAAAAGCATCTGTTCAAACTGACAAAGCATAGATGTTATTTTACATCTATTGCCGAGACAACAGCTGCGTGAGCAAAGTTGCTGGACTGAGTAATAGATAGGATTATGAACTCACGTTGATGGAATTATACCTGAAAATGCTGGACATTTTTCTCACTATTTGTATTCGTTATATTAAGAGTAAAAACAAAATAGTTAAACTTACATTCGCTAGATATAAAAATTTGCAATAACATATTTTCTTCCTGTTTATACAATTAATTTACTTCACCACAAAACAGATCTGACTCCTAAGAAGTAATTAGAAGTTTTTCTTACTTTTGCACTGTATTCAATTATTTCAGGAAGTAACTAGTTATATTCTTGAAGGAAATCAGTAACAACATCAAGAAAGAAAAAAAAATATTTAAAAACAATGATAAGATGCATAGTATTAGTAATTACTATTTAGAAGATTGTATATTAGGTTCGAGGCCTATGATACTGAAAAACTCATTTCTGGTTACTTGTTACTTATGGCAAAACGGAGATCAAAATTGCACAGTATAACGATACGAATTCACCAAAGTAGGCAGAGAAAAGAACCATTGAGTATTATTCCCTTAACGCACATTAGCTTTAATCTGAAGCTTTAAGTAAATTAACCGCTCAAAATTATTGAACAATACAAACAAATGTCTAAAATATATGCTCGCATACATTTCTCTGAAATTTTTAATGTTTTTCAGCCAAAACATTATATGCATAAAAAGCAAGAAAAATATAGAAAAGCGGGACATGCAATACATGCAGGGCAAACGTAAGAATACGCACACAAAGAGTTAAACACATCATCTTATGTTTTCTTGTGTAGATGAATCAAAATAGCATCATATTCTTTTTTGTATATATGCATTTGATTACGTTATATTGTTTTATTATTCTTAATTTATTACTCAATACTAATAATACGTAATTTATTTATCATTTTATATTTACTTACGCGATACTCATGTTACGTATGTTAAAAAAAAAATCATTTAATCTCTCCTTCCGAAATCTGCATTTTCTGTGATGCTACGTATTTGTTCCTGCATGTTTCAAGGACATCCACTTGTTTACAGGGAAAGAGAGTGGTGCTAAATTAATCATTATTTAATTCGGTGAGTTTTCCCGGCATGACATTATCATTTACGTTTGATTTTTTTTAAATTTAGCAATGTATACATATTAGTCAAAATTGTAGTCTGCGAACAATGCTGTAACAGGTAGGGACTACATGTATTTTTCCCATTATAAATTTTCTTTTTTAAAACAGAATTACGATATTCAATTACACACATGCAGCTGCAAATCAGCTGCATCTGGGTCAAAACCTAAGCTAACTATAAACAACTACTGCAGTCGCTGTTTAACCTGATCGTGGTTAATGTTATCATTCGGATATTGTTAACAAATTGTCGAAGTCATGCCCACTTGTATACGAAAACGTTAAAAATGCATCCTCTACTGGGATTAGCAAGGTGGTTAATGTTATCAAAATATTATAATATTAATTTTTTAAACTGAAGTAAAGTCCTCAAATAAAACTTAAAATAACCAATAATGTCGAAATAGAATGCCTAAATTGTTAAATGACAAAGTTTTTTTATCCAAGTAATGGAATAAAAGCCACTTTAGCAAAATAACATGAATTGTGAGGAGTTTAACGCTTGGGCGAATACTGGTGGTGGGGGGGGGGAAGTTCCAAAAAACATTTTATGATAAGCTTTCTCTAGAAGATGATGAAAAGGAGAATTGTTTACAAACGCTGAGATGAGGGATGTCCTACCCTTATTAAGATTATGGGGTACAGGGTCACTCAAATAATATCCGGAAATGAATATAAACAGTTCATAAATGAACTTTACCGTAAAACTTGAAGACAATTAACTATTAATCACGTTTTTCTTACTTAATATGTTGATATTTTGAAGGATATCTTATTGCTTAATATTATCATTCGGTTAATATCAAAATAGCCATGGACAAACTTGATCATATTAAACTATCGCCCTCCGTAAAGAATCTGACGTAGATATGACTAGTTTGGTTATCTGTTTCCAGCATAAACTGCACGTGTGTGAAACAGATCGCATTATCGAAGAAAATTCATTGCATTGGATCTTTCATTTGGGAAAACTACATAATATGTTCCAATTAACAGAACGAAGAACTTTAGGAAGAAATTCCTTCCAAAAGTATAAAGAATAAAAATAATTTAACAGAGAAAAGAAAAATAGCAACGGTTATGCTAATAAGAACCAAAATAAAAATATAGTAGCTACTGTAACGATAAAAATATAAACTTATTTTAAATAAAAATGTAATACGTGCTATTGCATTTTGGTCTGTCTGCATTTAAATAAATTACCTGAAGTTTATGAATTTGTAGTAAATTAAATAATAAACATTTTTATTCTCAATTTTATGATACATTTGTTAAAAATTCCAGTGCCACCAAAGTTTTCATTTGTATCCACTGCCTTTATGGCTTTAGAAAGTAGAAACCATTATAAAATCAATTCATTTATTATCAATAAAGACATGCAAAGAATCAGAAACAAATTAATTATAACACTTTCGGAATGTGCATATTGGTAGGTAATTCAGGAAACTGCAACGCGAAATAATCTTGTCATTCGTGCATTTCAATATACATATTCAACTTACAGATGCAACAAACCAAAATAAATAGACGATTAGTTTCTACTAGGTAACCTCATTCCCTGACTGGCCCCTCGGGACAGGAGGGAGACAGATTGGGAGATAATTCATGCCCAATTAAGCACTCGTGACTCCCAGCCACCACTGCGTGCACCCTGGAATTATAACTTCCTGATAGCCCATTCGCAGACAGCTGATGACAATTGGACTTTCTTCAACAGAAGATAAAATTGAAAAATTGAGAACTGAAATGAGCTGTGCATGGTGGGTGACTGCACGAAATGTTGTTATTTTCGAAAACTGTACACACTAGAGCACATCCTACTGAGGGTATTGAGTATAATTGTGACAGAAATTACCATGGAACATTTCGAGGGCAAATAGTCTATTTTAAAATGGAAATTAGAGTCGTTTTATTCATTATGTCGTAATTTTATTCCTTTAAAGCTTTTCCTTGCTCAGGGAGACGAGCATTCTAAACTGAATATTCTAAATGAATTCAATTAAATTTTGTAAAAATTTAACAATTATCTTTTTATTCAAGTGAGTAATGCCCTACCATATGATTCTGAAGTTTCATCGGAATTTTATAAGATCACTAAGGTAACTAAATAAAAATAAAGTTATGCTGTTTAATGAACAATAGTAAAATATAGTAACAATTGTAAACATTTTACTAGTAGTAAAACGTAGCTACAAATCTGAGTGTATGCATCACATATGCGGGGAATATAATTTTATCTAGACCTCTGTATAATATTTTAAAATAGTAAACATTTAAGTTTAAAAAAAAAAAACCAAAACCTAAATTACACGCTTTAAGCTGCAGTAAGTTGGTGACAATTAAATTCGAAATACATGTAAAGCAAATTCAAATACCATACTCAATCGGAATAAAATCATATTGAGTTGGGTAAAAGAGAAAAAAAAAATTGGCACAAATAATCGCAATATGTGAGTAGTTTTCTCGGAGATGGAAAACAAATTTTAAGAAGAAGAAAAAAATAAATAAATAGCTAATTCATGTTATCTACGCTGTTCTGTCTGCATTCTAATGACTGATTTTTTGTAAAATTTGCAGTATTAGAGAATAAATGTACTTATTTTATGCTTCGGTACAAAAAGAATGATAGAATGAATAGCGACTTTACACTATGTTCTTAGGTTTTAAAAGGTTCAATTAAAAGCTTCTTGAACAAACTGAATATTTTAGTACTGGAGTGATTTCACGTTTCGTCTCACTACAGTGATATTCGGAACAGAAGAATGAATGAAATGTGCATAGAGAAATACTAGAATACTGTGACCTTGCTTACTCACGAACAGCAATATCACCATCAAGTAACATGCTGGGTGTAAATTCGTTCTCATCTCAACGCAACCGGAAAAACGCATCCAGACAATTGCTTTCCCAACACCTTCGATTTACTAGGAAATTCAAAACTGCTGAAACGTGAGACAAGAGTTTTATCGGAAGTTGAAATACAGCTTTTAAATGGCTTCCACATTCGCTGCTTGAACGCTCACTGGAAGTATTTATCGCACCCTTAGCCAAACAGGTATGGATGACACGTCGTCGCGAAATGCATTACGAGCAACGGCGCAGGAGCGAGAATCGGTTGCCTTCGCTCATAATTGGAAAAGGCTTTTTATTTATTAGTTTTTATAGATTTTTAAAATCGGTGTTTTTCACCGGGAGGAAATGACAAGCATATCCCGCGTCACTTGGACAAGACATTTTAACAGGCGGCCGCCCAAGCGATTACAATTTTGTTACGATTAATCGATCGGTTTCGATTCAGTGATGGCTGGGATGAACTCATGACGATGTGTCTCCTGACAAGTGTATGAAGTTTTTAAAAGATCGAAAACAATGCGTCGTGAAAGGGGAGTACATAAAATACATAAACAAATATGAATAAAATACGAAAATATAAATTATTTCTTAAAAATTTGTCATCTATTCCTCACTTTGATTTATTTTATTTATTTGTTTTGATGAAGTTAAGAAATGCTTTGGAAAATACTAAAGGCGCAAAATCCTGAAGAAAAAGAAAAATTTTAAAAAATTACATTTTTCGATGCGTGCCCTTCCTACTCCATGGCGTAAATTTGTAATTACAGATGGGATCATCCCTGAGAGCTATTCTCGCATCAAAAGTTTATTTCAGCAGAAATTTTCGGAAATATTTCAATTAAAGCAAGACCTACTCCAGGGTATGATCAATTAGAAATCATTTGAAAGTTCTAGTAACTGATTTATAATTCTGTCTTGAAATAACTAATCCGGATGTACAATAAATCAGTTATCATCCTTGTAATATTGAAAAGGCAAAACATCTAATATGAAATAAATTATTAATTATCAGTTTAGCTTTAACTTAATTTAGCTTTTTTTTAACCCTAGTTAACTTCTGCATGTAATCTAAATGGATCCAATAGTTTTCGAAAAATCAAATGTCTTATAATCAGACTATGTATCAAGAAGGATAATAATGATGATGAGCAGGATCATAAAAATTAGATTTAAAAAGACTTTGTAAAAAAGATTATGATTAGTAAATTTAGGAACTTAAAATAAAATCTTTATAATACTTTAAATGACAGAGTATACTTCTATTTATATTTATCAAAGTATTGTATTCTGATATTTTTAAGGTCAGTTTCTCGATCATTTCAAAAAATAATGTAATTGATTAAGTACCAAATAAACTACTCAGAAAATATCAATGGTGGTTAAGAATAATTGCAAAATAAATAAAACGTAAACATAAATTGAAGTTTTTAAGTGGAACTATACTGAAAATAGATATTTAATTAAAAAAATTTCTAAACTCCTAATGTTAACGAATAAGAAAATTGCATAGTAAAAGTATAGCAAAATTTGTATATTGATTAAGAACTTTCCTAGTATTTTTTAATTTATTATAATTTAAAAAAATTAAATTTTTTTCTCAGTATTAGAATTTGCATATTTCCTTTAACATACCTATATCAAATTAAAGTCACGCTGTACCTTATCAGTTATAACATATTTATTTGTGCGCAAAATAATCTCGTGATTTAAAATACAAATGTTAAATAAATCATGAATATTATTTCTTTAGACATTTGAGATAAGTGAGGGATTTAAAAAAAGATATAGTTTTTTAACTAAATGTGCAACATACATTTTTAACAAAAAGATAATTCTTCTGCAGCCTCACAAACTGGGTTTCTAATTCTTTTTGTTCATTTTGAGCCCACAATGAATTAAAATTAAGTATAAATTTTATATAAGTAATGATCCATTATATACCAAAAAAAAGAATTATTATTCCTTTAACTTATTTTAAAGTGTACACATTTTAAATATCTATTTAATAATCTTGAAAGTGAATAATACTAAAGAAGAAAAAAGATCTCTGAATATAATTCTATAATACATTGCCAAATTTTCTCAGTCATTGTTTCATAGGTATTATATTACATTTAAAAAATACAGCAGATGCGAAAGCAAATAACCACCGGATGAAATTTAACAAAACTGAATGAAGAAATATGAATAGCGATTTAATTTAGCGAATAGGAAAATTTCAAGAAAAATGCTAGGCACGAGTGTATTCACACACACACTGGAAAAGGACCGAGTCCCTCATAGCATAGTTCACAAAAAGAAAAATAATCTGAGATGAGTTGAAACATGTTTTTAATATTTTTTAAGCTTTTAAGTGATGCTCTTATCATATAAGTGCAACTATTAAATCTAGACAACCAGAAAGAAATATTCAGTTTCCTGTCCAAAGATTTTTACCTTCTTTTTCCTAAGATGCCAACCTAAAAATAAAAAAATGTTTAAAGGGGAGGAGGAATATGACGCTGGAGTGAAAACTGGTTTCCAAGCAACAAATTTCATCGCATTTCAAAATTGGTTTTTTGCAAATCAAACCTCGAAGAAACTTCTAGCGATGACGAATAATAATACTATCAGTCACATCAATCACATTGTCCATCATGGATCACACTGACAAAATTTTCACTGTCTGTTGTGGACTCGATCCTCACCGGTGCCTAAAAGTGGGAAAACGGTAAATTTATATATTTATATATGAATTCATATGTGATAATTATTCACTTTTTATATCAAGGTCACTGCTGCGGTGGCCTGTGGTGGTTGTGATGATTATGATGGCTGTGGTTATTGCCTGTGTGATGCCCATGGTGAGGCGAAGGACTTCGGCTAGAATCGGAAGTTGTCGAAACGGCAGCCGGACTACTCGGGGGCGCGCTACTCCCGCAAAGGCTCCCGAAACTCCCGTTCGTGTTGTCTTCATCATCGTCGAGGATGTTGACCCTTTCATCGTCATCGTCACAGCGAGCGGACGCTCCGCTACTGCCGTCGACACGCCGGTGGTGGTGGTGGTGGTGGTGCTTGGAGTCTGTGCCTCCGCCGCCGGTCGATGAGCCGTTGTTGCCGCCGCTACTCCCGTTCATCGATGGGCTGCCGCCGTGTAAGTGATGGTGGCCGCCGAGGATGCTAGAGCTCACCGAGCTGTTGTTGCTCCCGCCATTCGATTGCTGTTTCAAGTGCTGCTGCTGCATCTGTTGCTGTAGCAATCTGAAAGAAAGTCAGTGTTACAAATAAATAAATAAAATTCAACGTTACAAAAAAAAATAATATACCATTTACTACTACTAAACTATTGATACCTTTACAAGGATTTTGAATTCAATTGTTCGGAAAACTTTCACTGCATTATTAATATATTTTTTCCCCAAAACTCCTTCTGATTTAGAAATAATTAAATACATTTCAAAGTTAATATCCGTGATTTAAATTATCTTAAAAATTTAATTCCTTAACTTCAAGTTAATTATTTGAATATGTCGATTATATTTATCAAATCTTACAAGAAATTAGTTTATTAGAAAAAGTTATGAGAATAATTTTTAAAAAAAGTGTTAATATAAGGCGAAGTTTTTTTCTCTTAAAGTGCTTTTCTAAAAATCATCTTACACTTCTTAGGTTGCATTTTACCATTTAAAAACGTATCAAGGTAATTAATTTACCGCTTTTTCTAGGTTATTATCCGAAAAAAGTGCATATTTACTTAGTTTTACCTAAGAGTCAACCGTTAAATTATCTGTATTGTGAACATACGCCATTTAGTTACCGTTCTGGTACGGAAATGATAATAATTTTTTTGTCATTATAGTATTATTATCATTATTATAATTTCTAAGATAACATATTATTAAACAATTTACAATATACTATGTATTTACATTTGTGATGAACTAATATTACGGCTTTGAGGGTAGTGCCTAAATAATTCAACATGCAATAACTCTTAATCTCTTCACATTTCATATGAGATATCATTAAAATCCATTTTCAATATAGGTTTAATTTTTTATCTTATAAAGAGTGTCCATGAGTTTTTTAAATATATATTAATCAAGATGACACACTGCGGTAAAAGAGCAGTTGCTTAATAACTTATACATTTATTATAATAAATATTTTCTTATTGTAACTTATTAAAATTACTGCTACACGTAGAATCACAATTCTGTTTCAGAACTTAACATATGTTGAAATCTGTGCAAAATGTGTTTACATCTGATTTTTTATTCAAAAGTTTCTATTTAAATCTACTTAATATACAGGTAACGAATTTTTCTATAGTAAAACGTCACAAAATTCAACTTTAGCGTAAATTTCAAATGAAAAGACTGAGTGCAGGGCAGACTATGACCTTTCTATTTCGAAAGCATCTTCTGTGCTTAATATGCTTAATATTTCAACCAAAACTGTATCTGAAGTTTCTTCACATTTCATACAGTCAGCGGCCTGAACAAACTCTTCAGATATACTCCTACTTAATACGAAAAGAATAATTGAAAGAATAATTGAGTCTGTAGTATTATAGTTTAGAACGTCAAACAATGCCCTATGCAAAAGTATGCTCAAGAAAGAGCACTGAATAACTATCCAGAAGTTTCTAGTCAGATAATTAAAATGAAACTATTAACGTCGGCTGGATCATCTAGGCTTGTAACGTCATCTGCCATTGTAAATACATACAAAATTATTGTTTCTAACGTATAGAAAGCTGAACTAGAAAAAATTCATAATAAAATTCTTTGAAGGTTATAAATAGGTAAAGGTTAGATTTATTGATTTAACGACAGAAAGAATTTTATGGACATTAAAAGTCTTCAAAAAGTCTAATTCTTCAGGTGACTGACTTTTTAAAACAGTGGACACAGAAAATTGCTTATTTTTCCAACCAGCAATAGTACACAGTAATAATAATGCAAGTAATTTATTAATTTCTTCTCTTTTTTTTCCCCCTCTTGTATAAGGTTAATGTGAAATTTCACGACCTGCGCTTTTTTAGTCTATGTATATCCAACCAGACTGCCACGGAATATTACTTCACGAATATATATATAATACATCTGAGTTAATTTTTGAGGATAAAACCCTTTATCATTAGCTTTAAAAGAAACTGATTATTATTTTCTTTCTTTCAGGTTTCCAACAATAGATGGCACAGATTATTTCATTTACTATCATTTCCTGGATGTTCCTTTATGTTCGCAGCTAAACACATGTTTTTCATTCTCCTTTTCACACTGGCAGCTGAAAAAGCGAATACTGTATGACTTTCGAAGCTGCCATACTATATGACTTTCGAATTTTTCTGACAGTATGCGAATTTCTGCTAATAGTTTTATTCCTTTCGGCTTAAGTTTATTTCGCGTATCATTTTATACAGAGTGACCAAGACAAACTGAACGCAAAGCAAGCAAGGAACACATGAACTGTAAGGCCCGAGATTAACATGTATATTATGTGGCCTAAGATAAATCGAACCGGTCATGGTGGACTTCAGTTGCTTTGATTTCGATTCGGCTTTGGCCACCCGACAGGTACAGGTAGAAGCTAGGCCAGCACCCCTGTAGTACCACCGGTGATGGAGGTATTGCCGAACCTAGCAAATTAGTAAACTTCTGCCTCAGTTTCGAGAGAGAACACCCGGAGGGCGGTTGAAGAGTCTCCCACCCTGTTTCCCCATCACCAATCTCTTGGGAGGACTTTCGGCTTGTCATCTAGTTTGAGATCCCCATGCCGTCTATGCATTTTCCGCGTACAAAAATCCATTAGACCCTGGGATTCGTACCCGGGCCCATCGGTAAGGCAGTTACTGTCACTAACAACTGTACCGGCTTAACGGCGGGACCACTCAACACTATTCACAAAACTTTTCAAAGACCTCATTGCCCCAAAACTTAATGTTTACTTGAGAGTTTAAAATGGACGCAACCAAAATAAGTACACCTATATAAAATTTTCTGTGAGAAAATTTCCCAAGACCTTCAACATACTTTGTTGTAACTATTAATGAGAAAATTCTTTTCCAAACGTAAGTAAAACGCTACAGTCGAGATAAAATTAACACCATTAAGCAAGAAGGTGCGTTTGTGTTCGATAACTTCTTGTCGATTTCCTTCTTTCATTAAATAATCAATGCGTTAATGATTTTAAAAAGTCATTAAAGTTAATGAGGTGCCCATCCACATGGATTGGGTTGCTGCCAATCAAATAGTTTTCTATGCTTGTTGCATGAATATTTCATAGGTTGTGCTTTTTTCCCTTCATTTTTTCAATAAAATAAGTTTAGAAGTACACTACTTTTGATAAAGTAACTTTACTTTCATACTTGTATGCATCAAATATCACATTAACTATGGATATACTTACGCATCCATCCAGACAAGTTCTTATAATTTATCATAGGTAAGATGATAATTTTATCTCCTTTCCTGTTTTCTTAAAGAAGCTTCTAATAAATCTCACAAAGTTTTCAGCTCGGAAAATTGATTTATATATGCTTAAACAAAAGTTTTAAAAGATAATTAATAATATAAAAATCCTTTGCAAAATAATAACATATCTAATAATGATACAAAATTTTCTATTCAGAAATTTAACTTAAAATACACTTTTACAGAAATCAAATCTGTTAAGCTGCTTTTACTAACTGCAGCCCACTAGTTAGTTTTTATTAGTGCAACCAGTAGTATACCGCACGGACACTTGAGCGGTAATGTCTCTGTAGACTGGTAATTCTACCTGAATTCGAATCTAGATGAGCGGGATGGCTGTATGGAGGTTTGACGATTTTCCCTGTTTTAATGTAGTTACAGTCCATTTTTTCTTAAAAAGTCCTTCCCGAAAGCCTCTCTTCTCAGCGGGAGACAGCCCTCGACTTGCTTTGCCTCAATCAATCAACTTAACCTAACCTTTAATAAAGGCGCATGTGTCTAAATATGATAATTTATGGTTAGTCAATAAAGTCTGCGTACATCAAGATAAGTAATATCAACTACAAATTTTAAGGTGCGAAAAGGGTAGTTTCTTAAAGTTTTATTTTTTAAATATTTAGTTTCAATAAGGGACTTTGAAATTATTTAACTGTAATATTTTCATATCTAATAATTTATGCACACTAATTTTTAAAAAATAAGTGGCCAGAAATCAAAGCCAATAAAGTTTGCGTACAACGCGAAGGAGGCGGGAAATTCTTATCTAACTTTTAAACTTCAAACTTGAGATGCAAAGAAGGTTACACTTTCAGGTCATTGACTTTCGAAGCAAATTTCACGTTGATTGGAATTGCTATTTCTATTTTCTTTGACGAAATGACAACCAATAAAGAAATTCCTTTAGTTCGAGACAACTAATTATCATTGAGGATGAAGGTAAAATCTTTCGTTATATTGGTAAAACCATTGGAATACCATTTTCTAGTGTGCAAAGAGTTATTCAAACTATCTTGACACTGGTATCTGCTGTAAAACCAAGATGTGGGAGACCGAAGAAGCTACGCAGAGAGAAGAAAGAAAAATTCTTTAACGAATTAAACAAAATCCTAAACTTTCTGCTGCAACATTGCAAAGACATTTTTTTTAACTAGCACAAGGAAATTTCTCTGAACTGTATGAAAAAGTGCTGCGAAAGTCCGATTGTTCATGGACGCAAACTTAGGTCTAACCATACATTTCCGAGACAAATAGAAAGAAAAGAATTGCTTTTGCCAAAACATATTTAAACTCTTCACGGACTTCTAGAACAATGTAATTTGGTCAGATGAAAGTAAATTACATATTTAAAGTTAATGGCACCCTATTGTATGGAGAAACCAGAACAAACTGATCTGAGAAATTTAAATCCAACTGTCAACACGGAGTTGGCGGTGTGATGGTATGGAGTGTATGTCGTCGAAAGGAGTTGGAAATTTTCACATTATTGATAAAGTCATGGATAAGTATGTTTATCTGGATATTCTGAAGAAAAATCTACGAGACAGTGCCCGAAATTTAAACCTTTCTAATACCTTTATTTTCCAACAAGACAACGACCCGAAATATACAGCTAAAATTGTGAAGGAATATCTCCTCTATCAGACTCCAAGATAGTTGCGTACTCCTCCACAGTCACCAGACCTCAATCCAATAGAACATTTGAGGGCAAAATTGGAGAAACAAATTCAAAAACACAATATTACGTCGCGAAATAAGCTAATTAGTAAATTGCGGGAAGAATGG